TTCTCTTTAAACAATATGGGGACCTGCGATTTTGCTGGCTGGATGAATCCTCTCGCTAAGTTGGCATCAATGTACTTCTTCAATTCATCCATTTCTTTAGGGGTCATTGTGTACATTTTTGGCTTTCATAGTTTTGCCCCTGGGATGAATTCTATTGTGCAGTCAGTGGGTCAGGAGCGGCAGTACATTGCACTCATCTTACCTCTGCTAAGTCCTGGTATTCTTTGGGTATCTGCAGGCAACCAGGCAGTCCCTCCATTGTGGAGGCCACTCCCCCCTTCTGACTGCAATCTCTGGGTCCCAAAGGTGGCTGGCTCTCATATTGTATATGGGGAGGCAAGGGGCCTATGCCTATCCTTAACTTACGGTAGCCATCTTCCCAGGTAATGGTGGGGGCCTATTTGTCTAGCCAAGCCAAGCCGAGAATGAGGGCTTCAGTCATTTTTGGGGCGTCAACAAATTGTATCAGTTCCAAGTACCACACCATCCCCAGGTTTAGAAGTTCTGTGACTAAAGTCGCTGGCTCTCCCCCAATAAGTGAATTATCTACTTGTTCAAAGCGGATGGAGTGTTTCAGAATTATTGTTTTTATCTCTAAATTTTGCACGGTCTGAGAGCTGATTAAGCACCAGATGCATCCGGTGTCTATTATGGTCTCCAGCTCTCCATGGGGCACCCCTATACGAGATTTTATGACAAAGGGGCGGATGGCTCCACTTACCATCGGGTCCTCATCGCCAGTCCCACTGGAGTCAATAACTTCTGGGGCCGGAATTGCGAACCTCCCCTTGTCAGGTAATTTTCGGGGACTTCTCTTCAACTTGGCTGCAGTTGGCATCGTCTGAAGAACAGGAGCTGGCACAAGGCATTCCGAAGCTTGGTGACCTTGGTGGCCACATCTGAAATACTTGATTCTGAGGCTTGCCGCAGGTTTCACCTCTACTGGCACATTTCTGGCTGGTCTACAGCTCAAGAGCCACTTAGAGGCTTTCTCTTGAGTCAAACTCCAGTGGGGGTGAATTTCCAAGTCCACAGTCACCCCCATCCGGTACCAATCTTGGATCCGGTTGGGAGCCCCTGTAGGCGCAAGCTTGCCTAAGGTCCTGATCCAGGGCTTCCTTAAAACAATGGACGAAGAGTCACTTAGGCCAGCGTCGTAATTTTCCAGCCACTCTTCTAAACCACACACGCTCCTGGGGGGGGGGTCGACCGTGCTGCTTCAGCCCCGATCTCTGCTTCAGCTTCCTCTCTGTTAGTCATGTCCTTGAATCGGGCCCTTAGAGATTGCACAAAGTTGTACACATCTTCCAACTCAGGGTCTCCTTCATCATGGAGTTGAGCAATCCACTTGGCTGCTTCCCCTTCTCTCATATTATCTGCGATGACTGAGAACTTGTCCTGGTCTGACTGGTACTGTGCCCCATATCGATCAATGTGAGCCCAGATTCATTTTAGGAAATAGGCCAGTTTTCCAAGGGTGCCGTCAAAGGTGGCCAAGAACTGTGGTGGGGTAGCTGCTGAGGCGGTAGCTGCGGTTGGTGGGATCAATGACGGGACGGGAACCGGCATCCACTGGTACTGGATCCAATCTTGGCCTGGGTAAAAGGCCCACCCGGATGGAACCTGGTCGGTGGGCGGCAGTCCGGCAGGCTCTAGTGGGGGTTGATGGGCAGACCTTGGCAAACCTTCCATTCTCCCCCTGGTCCCTGGGTTTGAGTGGCCTAAGGGTCTGGGATGTCATCCTGCCACGATGGCTGGCTGGGCTACAGCTCTGACGGAGGGGGTCTGAAGCGGGAGGCTGTGCCTTGGCCCTGCCAGTGCTGAGTGGAATGAAGCAGACACTCCACTCTTGACTGCTGTGCTTCCTGACCCTGGAAAGTTGAATGTAGGCTGGGTTAGAATCCAACTGGGCTGCATCGAGTGTGGTGATGTCTGGACCATGAGCCCCACACTCAGTAGATCAAACTTCTCAGGTAGCCCGGCAAGTGACTGGCTATGCGATGACAGTGGGAGCCTCCATTTCCTGAACTCGCCAGTCTCCAGGGGTTCTCAATGGTCTCCATTCAAAGGCTGCCACTTGTTCAAGTTGTCCTAATGCCCCTGGAGGCCTGGAGACCATCATCACCATCTCTAACTCTAACTGTGCAGCTGGTCCGGCTGGCGGGGGTCTGCCATGGGGTCGGTTCCTTGGGTCTGGCACCCCTGCGGAGTTCAGCCTCCATGGCTTCGGTCACTGCCGCAGCTGATGGGTAGCAGATAGTTCCACAACCATCCTCTGGAGTGGATCCGGTAGCTCCTTCAGGGGTCTCTGTTCCCTGTTCTATCTTCCCTGATTCTTTACGCCCTGTTATACCAAGGTGCGTCTTGGGGCTTAGGACCCTGGACAGCAGCACCACTTTGAAAGAAGCCACTGGGATTTTCTTTAGAATGAAATTCGGGTTAATGTCAGTGTTCCAATTAAACTCTCCATGCGATTTGTAACTCCAAGACAAAGTCCATCCCCCGCAAAATCCATCAAGATGGATCTGAGGCTGACACTGACTTCCTCATTGACTTTGATTGTCAGAGAGTCATAAAAGGAAATCACATGACCTTGGGACACAGCAATGGTCATTAAGATGAATCGGTTGACAATCATCTGAATTTTGATCGCATAACCATGGGGATGCTACAAAGATCATATGAAAAATGGACGTGCCCAAGTTTCCCAAGTTTCATGAACTGAATAAAACATATATTTTCTTTTTTCCAGGTTATTTGTATTATTATGAATTAAAAATATTTAATATAAGACATTTTTGAAGACTTTGCAAGATTTTCTTTTGGATACAGATTTGTTTACATTTGGAGAAAAAAATATTCAGATCTCCAAAAAGCCGAATATCCCCCTCTACAATATCAAGAATTGAAAAAAAAATCTTTTGTCAAGCTTTGTTTTGCCATTTCAGCATAAATAAATAAAATGTTGTTTACCCAAATTTCAAATCTTGTTGCTTTCGTTTAATTAATTTGATAACATCTACACTATATGATAGTCACCTGTGATGTTGGTAATTTGTGACAAATAGGGCAGTGATGGTTAACCTTTTCCACATTGCGTGCCAAAAGTGCACGTGTGTGACTACACTGATGCATATGCATGCGAGACTCCCCCGCCCAGTGTACGCGACCCCTTGCGCGCACACCGTGCGCCTCTGCAAATGTGCACACAAACCTCCGCATCGCATGTCTCTGCGCATGTGCACGCAACCTGCCCCGCATGCTGCATGCCTCTGCGCATGCACACATGTCTCCCAGGAGCATCTTCCCCCGCACACACACAGCAGATTCCCAACAATCAGCTGGCTGGTGGGGGCGCACGCCCATGCGCAGTAGGGTTCTTCCGGGCAACCTCTCACGAGCCAGAAGTGGCTCTGCATGCCACTTCTGGCACGCATGCCATAGGTTTGCCATCACGACAACAGGGGATTAGTTGTTTGTTATGAATGAGGCCCCCTTTGATTTTGTTGTCTTTCCTAGAGATAGATATATGATGAAACCATTAAAAAATCTATCAACTAAATTAGCTACTTACCAAAACAGTCTCTAGGCAAATATCGCTCAGTTGGGTAATAAGGTTATCTGTAATATTCTACTCTTCTCTAAAAAATAATTATTTTCTTTTATGGAAAAATACTTTATTAGTTTTACCTTTAAAAGAACAACACAACTACAAATTATGTACAACAAAAAGAAAAATAGGCCTTGGCATAGACCAAGAGGGAGAGAGAGGAAAGCCTAAGAGAGGGGAAAGGGAAGAGTAAGGGAGGGGAAGGATAGAGTAGGGAAAACAGTTAAAATAAAACCATATTTTGTGACTGTCTGTAAGATCCTTTCTTCTTCAAAAGTATCATCGGCGGTGCTTTTCTTTATCTCTGCTTCGGAGGCCCTCGGCCATAATTTTCCTAGAGATGATCTATCTTTGGTTTAGCCAATTATACAAAGGATTCCAATTGTTGTAATATGATGAGGATTCTTTATTTTTTAGTGCTTGGGTTAGTTTGTCCATTTCGGCGCATTGTAAAATTTTCTGAATAACCATATGTTCAGAGGGAATGGAAGATAATTTCCAGCACTGGGCAAATGCCAGTCTGGCTGCGGTTAAGATATGAATTACAATATACTTCGATTTTTTGGGTATTTGTTTATCGAAAATTCCTAGAAGGAAGGACTCTGGTTTGTACTCTATTTGTTCCTTGGTTATTTCCTCTAGCCAGCGCCTAATTTTTTGCCAGTACTTCTGGGTTTCCTTGCACGACCACCACAAATGGAAGAAGGTACCTTCTATGCTTTGACATTTCCAACAATTGGGGCTCGTGTTGGGGTGCATCTTCGCCAATCTCGAAGGGGGCAGGTGCCATCTATAAAACATTTTATATGCGTTTTCTTTATAAGCTGCTGATTTCGTGATCTTAATGTTCCTGTTCCAGATCCTTTCCCATTCTGCTAGTGTAATGCTCCGTCCCACGTTTCTGCTCCACGCAATCATATTTCCTTTGACAATTTCTTGTTCTAATTCAGTTTCTAATAAATGTTTGTAAAATTTAGATATTTTTTTTTTGCTCGGTCCTAATAGAATTTTGTCTAAAGTCTGTAATTTATTGTAGATTCCAAATTCCTTAATATCTTGTTTATATCTACTATGAATTTGAAGGTACACCCACTGATCAATTTTAAATCCTCGCTCTTGTAATTCTTGTCGGGTTTTCAATTTTCCTTGTGGGTCTAATAAATTTTCGTACTTAATCATTTTAGTTATATCCAAATTATTAGGGTGTACTATCGCTTCCATTGGAGATAGCCAAATCGGTATTTTTAGATAAAGTTTTTTACGTACTTTTTTCCAATTGGTTAATAGAGAGTCCCTGATAAGATGCCTATGGAAATATGATTGCCTGGGTTTCCCAGTTTCCCACAGAAAGGCATGCCATCCTTTCTGCATATCGTGGCCTTCTAATACTAGTGTTCTTTTGTTAGTTAAATTCACCCATTCCTTTATCCATAGTAGGGTGGCTGCCTTGTAATATACTTCCCAGTTTGGCAGGCCTAACCCTCCTCTGCTTTTCAAATCTTGTAGGGCTTTTACATTAATCCTAGCTTTTTTCCCCTGCCAAATAAATTTCAGTGTTATCTTGTTTAATTCCATAAAAAAATTTTTATTTAATTTGATTGGAATTGTCTGGAATAGATATAGAAATTTTGGCAGAATATTCATCTTAATCAGAGCAATCCTGCCCAATAAGGAAAGTTGTAATGTACTCCAGGAATCTAAATCTTTCTTGGATTGTTGGAGAAGTTTGTCATAGTTGTTTTCTTTTAATGATTTGCTTTGTGGAGTAAGCCAAATTCCTAAGTATTTAATTTTTTTTGGTCACCTGTATTTCCATTATTGTCTCTAGTTCTTTATTCTGGTCTCCTGTTAAATTTTTAGACATTAATTTCGTTTTACCCCTATTAATTTTAAATCCTGCGACTTCTCCAAATCGTTCTAGTTCTTCTAATAAGTTATGTCCTTTTTCTATAGGCTCCTCCAGAAAAAAAACCAAATCATCAGCGAAGGCTTGTACTTTGTACTCTTCTGATTTAATACTCAGTCCTCTAATTCTCGAATTTTGCCTAATATACGTCAAAAGATTCTAGAGCGAATATGAAAAGCAGAGGAGAGAGAGGGCAACCCTGTCTAACCCCTTTTTCTATTTTTATCGGGTCAGTTTGTTCCCCATTTATTAGAATATTTGCCTGTTGAGTATGGTAAATTGTAGTGACGACGTTTTCGAATCTAGTGCCAAGGTTCATATTGTATATTTTTTGAATTAAAAAATGCCAATTTAAATTGTCGAATGCTTTTTCAGCGTCCAAAAACATAAAAGCAAATTGTTTTTCCGGATGGGCTTCATAGTATTCTGAAATGTCTATCACTGTTCTTAGATTATTCTTAATTTGTCGAAATGGGAGAAATCCATTTTGATCTTCATGGATATGTGTGTTTAGAACCTGTTTTAGTCTATTAGCTATTATAGAAGAGAATAGTTTGTAATCTGCATTCAGGAGCGAGATTGGTCTATAATTATTAATAAGTCTAGGTCTAGGTCCTCCTTCGGGATCAGCGAAATTAAGGCTCCCCTCCACGAGTCCGGCATCTTGGCTGCTAGGAGTACCTCATTGAATACTTCCAGCATCAGTGGTCCAATTTGTTCTATGATTGTTTTGTAAAGTTCTACAGGTATCCCATCCGGTCCTGGCGCTTTATTGTTACTTTGCTTCTCTATTGCTGACTTCAGTTCGGACCATGTTATATTTTTGTTTAATAATTCTATCTCTTCCTCTCCCATTGCATTTTCGTTCGCTTCCTCTAGATATTTCATTATTTTGTCCTCACAAACGTCTTCCTTTTTGTATAATTTCCTGAAGTATTTAAAAGTGATCTCTTTTTTCTTCTCTATCTCCTCTTGCAAATTGCCCCTCTCGTCCATTAATTGGTGTATCAATCTTTTTTCTTTCATTTTCTTAAGTTTGTGGGCTAACCATCTCCCTGGCTTATTTGCGTGCTCAAAATAAATTTGTTTAGTCATTTTCAGACTACTCTCCAATTTTTCTTGTTCCAATAAATTTAGATTGTGTTTAGTTGTTATTAACTGATTCTGTATTCTTTGATTTTTGGGGTTCTTTTGTAGTTGGGTTTCTAAATCCTTAATTTCTTGTTGTAAGTTACTTTGTTGGGCATACTTTCTTTTATTTCTCATAGCATTGTAAGAGATAGTTGTTCCTCTTATAAATGCCTTCATTGTGTCCCATATGTTTTGTTTCGAAGTTAGTTCATTATTATTTTCTTTTAAGAAGAAGTTCAGTTCTTCTTTCAATTTATTAGTGTATTCTTCTTCTTTTATTAAGTGAGTGTTAAGAGTCCATCTTCTTTTTGGTTTTCTTCTACCTCTCCAGGTTATTTGAATTGGGTTGTGATCAGCCCAGTCGTTTGGTAAGATTTCGCTATCTTTGATTTCATTAATTAATTCACCATTTATCCAAGCCATATCTATTCTTGTCCAAATTTTGTGTGGGTTAGAGTAAAAGGTAAACTGTTCTTTTTTTGGGTTTAGTTTTCTCCAAATATCTACCAGATTCAGTTCGTACATCATATCCTTACATGGCTTCGAAAATTCTCTTTTTCCTTTTTTATTCTTACTCATGTTACTATGATCCTTCCGGTAGTCAGCAATAGAGTTAAAATCGCCAATCAGAAAAATATTGCCATTTCCGAAATCTATTATTTTTTGGTGAAGATGTTTGAAAAATTTACCTTGATCATCATTTGGGGCATAGATTACTACCAGTAAAAATGTAATGCCATTAATCGAAGTTTGTACCACCAAGGTTCTTCCTTCAGGATCCGCCCAGATTAACTCCGCTTTTAAATCATCTCTCACATATATTGCAATACCTTTCTTTTTGTGCTCATCTGCTGGTGCTGTGAATAATTTTCCCAGTTTCGGACAATCTAGAAATTTCTCCTCACTTTTCCTAATGTGTGTTTCTTGTATGCAAACTATATCAACGTTTTGTTTTATTAGTTTATTTAGAATCCTCTTCCTTTTAGCTCTTGAATTTAGGCCGTTTATGTTGATGGAAAGGATTTTACTTCCTTCCTCCATTTACTTAAGTCTGCCTCGCTTTTTGTCTCGTAATTATACGGCTCTCTTCTTGTAGGAGGTATGGGGATGTTTCTACTCTTTCTTGTTGTAAGTTGTCTTTTCCTTGAGTTTGGACGGGTCTTTCTTCCTTGTTCCTATGGCGGTTCCGATCTTCCTGCATGTTCCCTTGGGTTTCCTCCTTAGTGTGTTGATCCTCCGTGGTTGTTAGCTGTTCTAGGAAGTCTTGTGCTTGTTCTATTGAATCTATTTTAATTTTCCTTCCCTTCCACCATATTAGCATCCCTTCTGGAATTTGCCATTTAAATGAAATTTCTTTTTTATTTAAGTGGTTAGCTAAAAATTTATATTCTTGCCTTAAGGCCCTCACTTTTCTTGGAATCTGCTTGAGAACTATGATCTCTTTGCCCATATATAATACTCTCTCATCTCTGGCCATTCTAAGTATTAGGTCTCTCACGCATCTTCTTGAAAAGCGGATATGGATCTCCCTTGGGCACTTGTGACGCCTTGCGTAACTGGTATTCACCCTATAGACTTCGTCGAATTCTTTGAGTAAGTCATCTTTTTCTTTTCCAACTAGATCAGCCAACAAACCTGCCATTAATTGCGCTAGTTCTTCATTTTTGGATTCCTCCACGTTTTGGAACCTTAGGTATGCCGCTGCTCTGTCCATCTCAAGTTGGACCAAGGAATCTTCCATTTCTCTATTAATACTTTTAAAGCCTTCTTCAGTCCTTTCTAGGTTCCTCTCCGCTCGTTCTGTCCTCCTCTCTATTTCTTTTATTTTTATTTCAGTTCTTTCCATAGCCAATTGCATTGTCCCCACCTTATCTTCGACTTTTTGTATATCTGCTCTCATCTCCTCTTTTAATTTCCCCATTTCTTCCTTCAGTTCGCTAATATCGGCTCTGGTCTCATTGTGATTCCTAATCATAATCTCCTGCATTCTAGACATTGACTCTTGCAGGGATAATAGTGTCGCTTGCAGATTGGCATTAGTGACAGTCGGTTGTTTTTCTCCTGTCAAGGTCTCTTCTATAGTTTTCTGCGTTATTGGGGAGGCAGTTGCCAAAGTTGTCGTCAAGGTCTGGGTGTTCTTCCTTCCCGTTTTCAGGGCCGTAGTTGTTGTGGAAGTCATCTCTGATAAGATTTGTTTTTGCAATTGGATAATGTTAAGAATATTTTCCCAAATCACCATTCGATGTAATAGCCCTTTAAATGTGATTGCAAAGATATATGATGAAACCATTACAAAATCTATCAACTAAATTAGCTACTTACCAAAACAGTCTCTAGGCAAATATCGCTCAGTTGGGTAATAAGGTTATCTGTAATATTCTACTCTTCTCTAAAAAATAATTATTTTCATCCATGAGTTTCATTAAGACATTAGAACATCAAAATGTTAGAGCTTGCCTAACAATAAGCTTCAGCAGTATGTGTTAATTTTATTAATATACCATTTTCTCTATTTTCATAACAGTTAATTAGAAATTAATCTTAAAACTTTTTAAAATTAAAATAAATAAAATTTAAAAAATAATAAAAATTAAGAATACTCTTCACTTAGCTTCTTAAAGGAAACCTTGACAAACTATTAAATAATTGATAATTATAACATACTTCCAACAATTGCGTATATTAAAATTCAACTTACCAGCCATTTTTATTGACGTATGTTGCTAGGTAACCATGATTTTCCCAGTTATGAATAGTCTCTGTCATTCCCTCCTTTTGGAAGATGGATTGTAGACCTTTAAAAATGGCATTACAATCAGCTAGACAAAGAAAAATACCAATGGGTTAATAAATACATAGAAATGATATTTAATGCATTTTGTCATGATATTCTTATCAGATTTATGAGCATAAAATGATGATCGTTCAATTTCTATACCATTTATCAAGTATTGGAAAATTGTTCAGATTCCTTATGCTATCCTCTTTTAATAAATCTTGATAAAGATTTTTTGTTTTCTGTGGAGGTTGCATACCTAACAAGTTAACAGCATTTTTTGTAAAGATTTGTTTCCCAATTGTTTTAAAAACAGAACATCATAGAATTCTTTATTGGCCAAATGCGATTGGACACACAAGGAATTTGTCTCTGGTGCACAAGCTCTCAATGTATACACAAGCAACAAGTGGTAAATCATGATCACAAAATATAATCATCATAAATCATAAGATACAACCCTCAGTGATAGTCATAGGATACTAAATAAAAGCAATCAACATAAATCATAATAGGATACTACACAGAAGCAATAAACATCAACCATGACATACAAACAACAGTTATAGTCATGCTGTGGTTAGCCGGCAGCAGGTGCGGACAGCTGAGGAGAGCGAGGACTCAGATGAGGGGCCAGGACCATTAGGAAGGACTGCTGCCTTCAGAGATTGTGGGGGCTGGCAGCAGTGATGAGGAGGTTCCCGAGGAGCCTGTGCCAAGTGCACGTGCACACAGGATTGCTCGTAGGAAAGAGCAGCTACAACAGCACAGGAGACTTGGGAGTAAGGCTGCAAGGTAATGCCCCCCCCCCCCCTTCAAGAAGATAAAAGCCAGCTGTGAAACGAATGTACTTTGCAGAAGGCAAAGACGTTTTGAAACTCCAGCCTCGTGGACATTCCAGTATCCTGAGTTTGTATTTGAAGATTCTTGTATTGCAAATTATTTCTTGTCTGTTATCTTTTGGCAAGTCTCGCACAGTTTGGCAAGGCTTGTGTTTATCACAGCTAATTATTTCGCAGAAGCATTACAAGGTTTCTGTTCCCTTTGGATTGTGTTTGAATTGTTGGAAAAGGGCGTGGGTCAGAACAAGTCATAAGAAGCTAATGAAATAAGTAATAGGAAATATGAGAAGGATAATAGTTATACAGCCCTACTAGATGGTTTGACATCCCAGGGCATAAAACAATGTTGTGGGAATTAGTTGTTTAGCAGAGTGCAATGCCCTGTAGTGTCATCTTGAGGGAAGAAGTTGAAACAGCTTATGTCCAGGATGTGAGAAAGTATCTGTAGATATTTTCACAGCCCTCTTTTTGGTTCGTGCAGTATAAGGTCCTCAATGAAAGGCAGGCTGGTTGCAATTATTTTTTCTGCAGTCCTAACATTGAAGTCTATCTTGTTTGCTATGCCAAACCAAACAGTTATAAAGGTGCAAATGACAGTCTCAATAACTCCTTTGTAGAACTGTAGAACTGTATCAGCAGCTCCTTGTGCTTTTTTAATAATGTTTTTGATGTTAGGTGTCCTATTATAGAACCTAGAAACATGAAGGTTACTATTGTTAGTATTGTGTTATTTAGTATTGTAAGAGATGGAAGATTAGGAGGCTTCTCCTAAAATCTACTATCACCTCTATAGTTTTGAGTGTATTCAATTCAAGATTGTTTTGGCTGCACCATAGGGCCAATTGTTTCAATTTCCCATCTGTATGCAGATTCACCATCTTGAATGAAACCAATCACTGCTGTATCATCTGCAAACTTCAGTACTTTAACAGAGGAATCTTTTGTGATGCAGTTGTTAGTGTAGAGAGAAAAGAGTAATGGGAGAGCATACAGCCCTGAGAGGCACCTGTGTTAATTGTACAGGTATTTGATATGATTTTGCCTAGCTTTACCTGCTGCTTTCCATCTGTTAGAAAGCTTATGATCCACTTACAAGTGTGGTCAAACACAATTAACTGAGTCAGTTTAGTGAGAAAAATATCTGTAACGATGGTATTGTATGCGAGCTGAAGTCTACAAAAAAGTCCCTTGCATAGATCCTTGGAGATTCAAAATGTTGTAAGATGTTGTGCAGTGCTATATCAATAGCATCATCTGCCAATCTATTTGCTCGGTTGGCAAATTGCAAGGGGTCTAACAGCAGGTCTGTGATGGTTTTCAGGTGGACCAGCACTAACCTTTCAAGGGTTTTCACAACTACGGATGTCAGAGTAACTGGTCTGTAGTTGTTCAGCTACATGGAATGATAGTAAAGTGTTTGAAGCACCAAGGAAATCTCTAGTGATTTATTAACAGTGTAGATGGGGGCACAAACTTTCAAGCAAGAGGAGTTACCTTGTAGGGGCCTGGTGCTTTTCCATGCTTTTGTCTGTAAAATAGACCTCACATATCTTTTTCTGTGATCACCAGAGGTGGTGGGCCCAGAGGGATGGAGTAAGTTCAGTCCATATTGTGATTTTTATTATTGTGATTTCTTACAACTTTTGCTTATACTGTTTCCTATCAGATACTGTTCCTTATACTGTTTCCTATCAGGTACTTAGGAGCTCAACAGCACAAGGAAACAACAATCAATGACTTAATATCCAGCTACCAACTCCCTAATTAGCAACTAAAAGCTACACACAATCAGGGACCATATAAATACAACAGTCCAGTGCACATATTAGAGAGAGAAGAGAGGGAGGGAGGGAGGGAGGGAGAGAGAGGGAGAGGGAGGGAGGGAGGGAGGGAGGGAGGGAGGGAGAGAGAGAGAGAGAGAGAGAGAGAGAGAGACTGAAAGCTTGGGAGAAAAAGAACTTTGGTCCTGGTGTTGACTCAGACTGGATCCTACAAAATTATCCTGGGACACATATATTTGTCTTTACTAGCAAGAGATATGGGCAGCCAGTGTTTCCTATCGTTTTACAGTACCTTAAAATATGTCTATGCTGGAGCTGCATATATTGGGTAATTTAGAAGCACAGTAATTAAATACATTTTGAAAAATAAATCAAATAATTTGATTAATTGATTTTAGCAGTGTGGATGTTTCTCAAAGTAGAAAAAATGTTAAGTGAGCTTGATGTTCATATTCTACATAAGGGGTGTCAAACTGGCAGCCTGCGGGCCAGATGCATTACACGCAGGTCACGCTCACCCTGGCTCCACAAAGGCAAAAAATGTCGTGATACACATGACATCACATGATGCAATCAAATTTAACACCCATGGTCTACATAAAGCTAGCATCTGAAGTAAAAAAAAATTTCCTATTGCACACCATTTCTTACTCCTACATTAAAAAATATATATATTCTAAGTTCACGTGAAAAGCTTGATGCCAAGACCAATTATTTTAACAGATGGCAATGAACATCTATTCATTGTGAAGAACATAGTATTTTTTTTAAAAAGTAAACAAAAATTGCTCAAGTTCATTTATAATGCAAAGTTAAAGATCTTTTTTTGTATTTAATACTTTGATTTCTCCTTTGTATTTAATCATAATTTTGTCAGTCAATTCAAAAGCCTGTTATCTAATTTTTTTCTTATTCAGTTTACTATTAACACATTATTGATAACAAAGCCATATAGCTTCTACCACTGTAATGATCTCATTGTGTAATTTGCATTTGTATCTTTTTTTTCTCAGAGAATTCAAGGCAACATACTTTTCTTCATTTTATCTTCAAAACAAATCTCTGAGGAAGACAGGACTAAGACAAAAGCCATTGACAGCAATGGTCAAATTTGAGAGGATACAGGTAGTCCTCACTTAATGACCACAACTGGGACCAGTAGCGCCATTGTTAAATGCCGCAATCACTAAGCAAAACATCACATGACTGTGACGGGTTTATTATCTCACTACTCCTTTAATTGTTAAGTAAAGTATTGGGATCATTAAGCAAAACATCATGTGACTATGATTTATGATTTAATTTCTACTTTCTCTATTACTTCTGTCATAAACCAGTTGCAGAGCACACAACTGGTGACCATGTGGCTGCAGAATGTTGCAATGGTTGTAAGGATATGCTGGTTGTGAAGTATCCAAATGATGATCACATGACCATGAGATGCTACTATGGTTGTAACAGCTTTTTTTTTTATAGCAAGGTAACATTCCAAACAAGACAGATGATAAGCAATGACTCTCATACTGGCTTTTATAAAACTTACATCTTCTTTTTTATAGAACTAAAATTAAACTGCAGTTGAATGACAGAATTATGCTAAATTTGCAGCCAGATATTTATTTCACATATTACCACATATTTGTACCGTGTTTCTCCAACAATACGGCCTCCACCAATAGGAAGGCCCAGCATGTTTTATTGCCATAAAATCAAATGAAGCCCCTTCCCCCAAATTTAGGCCTATTTTAAAACATGCAAAATAAGGGGGAAGGGTGGGGGAACTTGCCATTAGGAGCGCCCCGCGGGCAGCAATTCCTCGCCACCAGCTGCTCCTAATGGGCGATCATGGCAGAGCGCAGAGAGCTCCCTACTCCTGCAGACCCGAGACCGTTAGTGCTTGCCGCTGTTGGTTTCCCTTCTGCCCATACCGCCGCCACGTTTGGAGCTGCCACTTCTACATTTGGAGCACCGCCGCCGTTTGGAGCTGCTGCTTCCGCGTTTGGAACCCCACCGCTGTTTGGAGCACTGCCGCTGTTTGGAGTTGCCATATCCGCATTTGGAGCTGCTGCCACGTTTGGAGCTGCCGCTTCCGCGTTTGGAGCACTGCCGCTGTTTGGAGCACCACCGCCATTTGGAGCGCCACCGCCACTGACCTTCCCTGTCTGCTTTCTTCTGCAGCTAATGAGGCACATCCAGCTAAGACAGCTGCTGGCCCTTTGTGAAGCCTTGCAGTATATCCACCTTCTCCTGGTCCCACTGGCCCATCAACACTCCCTAGCACCCACCCACAGCACCTATGAACTGTCCATGCTTCTGATTTGAGATTGCCACTTTTTTCCACTTAAAAAACCCACATAGTCCTAGGGCAACATCATCAACTGGAACTGCCATTGCTAAGCAATGCAATCAATGTGATATCATAGTTTATGACTGCAAGTAGAGGGCTCCAGATGGGGAATGATTAGTTCATAGATTTGTTCCCCAAAATGTGAAAACAAAGGAAGCTATCACGAACTCAAAACATTGGCATTCTAACACGAGCTCTGGATCTATAGATCACTCTAATCTTTCAAAATTTGGCATAACCTAGAAATTCTTTGATGTAACAAAATCTGGGGGAAAGATCTTAGCAAACCTTAATAATAAATAGGAACTAAACATATATTTGTTTAAATCCAATGCAGCCATTCCAAAAACATATATACATGTAAAAGAATTAAGTGCTCCTTTTTGCCAGCCTTTTGTAGGTGATCTCTACTAGAAGCTGCCACTTTTTAAAAATCTATCTCCCTACATTGTCAGTTTCTGTTTGCAATTCATGCTATCAGATTGCTTGTAACTCATAACTAGAAATCAGTTTACCATTCTAGGACATATCAATATTACTTTCTAAATGAACTTCAAAACAATTGTTCAACGTTATTAATAAGGGTTTTTTATTTAGAAGTTAATGAACAGTGAAGGAATCAGCTTTCTAGCACTTAGTAAAGCTCTCTCCATTCAGGACAATGCTAGTACACTTTAGAAATAATTTTATTTTTAAAATTATTTTTTGTTGAACAATAAGTAGCAAACACTAACAAGTAATTGAGTAACAAATTCACAATACAGCCTCTAAAAAGTAAGTAGATTTAAACAGGTAATGACATATTCACATATATCGCATTGCATAATGCTATGGATAGTTTGTTTCAATTAATGCAAAATTCATCTGAGTTTGATAGAATTGTGATTCCTGCCTCTGATGTTTATTACTTTATTTGCAGCCTTTTTTTAACACGGCAATTGAAGAGACTTTAGTAATCCATATCTCAATTGTCCCCTTCATGGATCACTGCCTTGTCATGGCGAAGAGGCTTGCGTAGCTCAATGAAGCTATGAGTTATACTGTGCAGGGCCACCCAAGATGGACAGGTCATAGCAGAGAGCTCTGACAAAACGTGATCCACTGGAGAAGGAAATAGCAACCCACTCCAGTATCTTTGCCATGAAAACCCCATGGACAGTACCAAAAGGCAAAAAGATATGACACTGGAAGATGAGCCTCTCAGGTCGGAAGGTGTCCAATATGCTATTGGAGAAGAGCAGAGGGCTAGTACTAGTACCGCCAGAAAAAATGAAGCAACTGGGTCAAAGCCGAAAGGACACTCCGCTGTATCTGGTGGTAAAAGGAAACTCCGTTGCTGTAAAGATCTATATTGCATAGGAACCTGGAATGTAAGATCGTTGAATCAAGGCAAGCTGGACGTG